GCCGTAGTCCGGGTGGCTCCTCCCCAAGTCTCTCGACCCAGGGGGAACATCCAAGGGCGCAACCCCTTTGTTGATGCTGACAATATCTGCGTATGACATCATGCGAGGAGATGACATTTGTAGGATGTTGTGTATAGGGTATCGCTTCAATCTTTAGTAAAGGGTTAAAGATTTACTCGATATTAAAAAATATAAATACTCGACTCGGCATACCAAGAAATCTTGTATACATTTTTGGGAAACGAACTCTTATTAATGCTTTATGAATAGCGACTGAAACAGCTTTTTTTTTTTTTTTTTTTTTTTTTTTTTTTTTTTTTTAGGTTTAATAAAATTCCTTACTTACTGTCTACCCTGCTCGCACAGGGAGGCAGCAAGAGTAGGTTACATGGTTATGTACATGCATGAAATATTAAAATAGTTCAATACCTAGCATTGCATTCAATTATACGTTAGCATTACAAAACGTCTAAGATATCTATTTTCATTGTTTCTTTCTAATCGGTGACAGGTACTTGGAATGAGCACTCACATGGTGTAATCTTGTATGTTCCCTCATGCCCAGAGGCGTAGCGACCCTTCCCGGCGCCCGGGGACATACTTCCAATTTGGCGCCCCCTCGAGAGCAAATTTTCGATTTGCACCCCCCCCCCCTCGAACTTTTCATTTGCACCCCCCCCCTCAAACTTTCGATTTGCACCCCCACCTCGAACTTTTCATTTGCACCCCCCTCAAACTTTCAATTTGGCGCCCCCCCTAAGGTCGGCGCCCGGGGACATATGTCCCCCCCCGCCCCCCCCCCCCCCCCCCTCGCTACGCTACTGCTCATGCCCGTTATTGGGAGGGATACGGTGCAATCTCGACAGTCATACAACGTTATTTCTTGATGATTTTCTGCATAGTGCGTGTATATGTCTGTGTGGTACCCATAGTCTTTGCAAATATCACAATGTAAGAATCTGTAGTGCACATTTCGTTCGTGTGTTTCCCATTCCCTGGCTGTTCTATAGTGTTCTAAGCAGAACCTACAGAGTTTGTTGTCATGAGTTAATTTTTTACTTCTTATTATTTTCTTTTCTTCTGTAGGACTACCCTCCTTCTTCCACTAATCCCACCAATCACACCACACACAAAATGCGTCCACTAATCCCACCACACTAAATTCTCCCACACTAAATTCTCCCGAACTATATTCTCCCACACTATATTCTCCTACACTATATTCTCCCACACTATATTCTCCCACACTAAATTCTCCCACACTATATTCTCCCACACTATATTCTCCCACACTAAATCCTCCCACACTATGTTCTCGCAAACTAAACTCTCCCACACCAACAATCTCCCAAATCTAAACTCGATACAAAAATTGTCTTCACCAAAATCACAAGAACATTCAACTCCCCCATACTAGATTCCATCACACAATCCCCCCCCCCCCCCCCACATAATATTAGTGTTAGTCCCGAGAGTGCACCAAGGTGTAACACAGTTCACAGCGGTTTGCTGTCGTCTTTTGTTTGTTGGAAAGTATCTCGCGTGTGAGACTTTTTTGTCAGGGGAGAAAACAAACAATGTTTTTCTTCAAGGGAGGTAATTATAAAATTAAAATATAAAAAGAAGTGAAAAAAGTAGTAATACATTTTTAAACAAAAACAAGTAAATTGACTTTAGTATTAATTATAAAAAAACTAAATTTAAAAAATCTTTTAAAACATTTGGTAATTTATCACACAATGTTAATTACAACTACCAGTAATTTTTAATGTTAATCCAATAATCAAATGTAACTAGTTTCAACCAGCTGTAATATTAATACCAAGAAGTTTAATAAAACATTGTTTGCAGGTTTTGACTTGTGCTAGTGATCTCATTTCGGCGTATTTGTTTTATTTTGTTAGCAAAATGCACTGGATCTGGGTCGACAACCAATGGCTCTATGTATGCACACATACCATTAATTATCTTGTTTTCAGAATACTCGGTAATGAACGATATGATAATAAATATAAACAATAAACACTCGCTTTTCTATTAGAACTAGGCATGCTGCCTAGCTTCGCTTCGGTTCTCAAAAACATTGAGAATGTTAATGCTTAATTAATTAGTGATTGGCTGATATGTGTAGTGCTTACGCTTAAATAGTAACGCTAATTTTAGAGAATTTGTTGTTATTCTCGGGCAGATGAGGCTCGTTAGCTGGGGACAGCCGCTCTTCTAGGACAGACAACTCCAAAATTAAACAACTGCTGCCTTGTAGTTTGTTCTTGGTTGGACAAAGGCTATGGAAGCAAATCCAAAAAGAAAAGCAGGCTGAAATCGGAGTCAATGGCCTCAATGGTGCACAACCAGTTGACACGTAACGCTTAATTGTGTTGGAGGCGTGGTCGGGTCGGCAAAAAGCTCATGGTAGATAAATTCGAACAAAGTCTCGAGTTCAAACCCACTGGCAGATAAATCTCGATCCCCTTCAACACTAATAATTAAGAACGAAGAAGAAGTAGAAGAGAAGAAAAAACACATTATTTTTTGGGGTGTCTGTTCTCTTTACAGACGAAGAAAAGAAGTTGTTGTTTTTTGTTGTTTATAGCCCGTTTTTAGATAGATTGATGTGATGTAGGGAAAATTCGGACCGGTCAGTTCTAAAGGTCTTCCGGAGTTTTCTACAGTGTTTCTTCCAGACTTTCTTCCCCCCCCCCCCCCCGAAAAGATGCCTGGAAGAGGTTCCTACTTGGGAAATCTTTTCGATGCATAGCTCATGTAACCCTCACTCAGTGGGGATGCTTTTACCCACTGAGGTGTTGTGGTTAAGACGGGCTGACCCTGAGATTAAGTACACACTAACACCGACAGTTGTTGTCAAGTACTCGCTTTATTTACAGCATCGAGCCATGACGGCGATGAACCACAGTAGTACAAAACAAACTAGCCAAGGAGAAAAAAAACTGTAGCCCTAAAACAAATGTAAATAAAAAGTTACATTCATGACAACACCACGTGTAAGCTACAATATACACGGGTACAATAAAATATGTTTCGGCCAGTACACAGTACTGCCAACAAGTACCAATATGTAGTACTACAAATAAATACTTATATTAATACTCACCCTAACTAGTGTGCACATGCAGCACTAGCAGGAATACACAAATAAGTATTTTAACAAACATAATCTATATAACTACCTTCATTAGGTCTACATCTTGGTCACCGTGTCCACAGACAGCAGCCTTGTGTGTGACTGACACGGCTAGGCATGAAACTACCCACAGTCCCATGTCACATGACATGGGACACAGGTAACATCGCTCACAAAAGCATGAAAAAAAAACCAACTACGTCCACAGGGCCACAGCCCCACAGGGGCCGCAACTCAATGAATTAAAACTTCATATTTTTATCCCCCTTGGCTGGTAACCATGTGTTACACTCATATAAGGCGCCGGTCAGTCGAGGTCATTTTTGACCCCCCGTCGTGGACCTCTCGGCCAACGGGCACCGGTCCCCGTGTTTTATCGCCCCAAGGCAGGATCCTGTCAAATTTGAAGCGCCTGCGGCGCCGGGAAGTGCCCTATAGGGCACCCGACAACCTTGCCTCATATATAGAGATTAGTCAATTGCATAGCTAAACAAAGTTTTCAATAAAGTAATTTAGGCCGAAAATAGTTTAAAATAGAAATTTATTATTGGAATACATTCTAGATCTAGGTAGGGTCTAGATCTGTCTTAATCTAATTTTTCCTTATTTTCTAGATCATCTAGATCTAGATCTAGAATCTCTAGATCCAGAAGAGCTAGAATATCTAGATCTAGATCTAGATCTAGAATCCTAATAGATATTTTTTTTTTTTTTTTTGAAATTTAACGTCAGTTAGTTACACATTAGAGCTGGGTGGACTCATGAAAGTTTTACACAGTTGAACCCGGATTCGAACTCAAGACTTTCGGGTTAACAGTCCAGCGCCTCGCACACTTAAAATGTTAAAAAAAAGTAGTTACTCTATCAAACCAGTGGTCAATGAGGTAGATGAAGTAGAGTTCACCTGTTTCTTTGACCTAAGCCAATGCTGACAAAGTGTGTTCATTAGTATATCCTGCCTCCTTTATTTCGCTAAGTTGAGCCATGTACCCATCAGAGGTGAGTGAATATAAGAATGTCCTACGGACTACAACCGGTATCCGAACTTGAGACGTTTGTGTTAGCAGTTGTGTGCCCTACAGTCCGACCACGCCGTTCCACTTAAAGTGTTGGCAACAGCCTAGTAACCTCATTCAAAATATTCAGGGGGGGGGGCACTAGTTGGTATCTTAATCAACCGAAAGCTTTGTTTTCTATTTCTAGATATGTTAGTACATTTAGTGGCAACGAATGCCTATGCTTCAAGTGTCCTAGACGGGCTATGCATTAGAGGCAAATATTAGTGGCCTTTCTATAAAAGCGGCCGAGATTGCCTTTTCCATAAAAATGGCCAATGTTGGCATTTTGATAAAAGTGGCCCAGGTGGCTAAAGTAGGCCTCTATGAACGTAACAGTACCTCTCGTTGAAATCACGAACACGTCAAAATACAACTCAATACAAAGTGGTACAAAGGCAGAGTGTTCAAATACCTAGTACGACGTGCAGTTATCGTACCAACTCCCTAAAGTATGGACCAGTAAAGTTATTTTAAAAGATTTAAATGGCAACACTATGACTGCAATATCAAAATTAAATCAATTTTTTCGTGTTGTTAAAAATGTATAAAATTTCACAAAAAAAATCTCACAGAGCTCAAAATTCCTATTAAAAAAATTTTATTTTTATATATTATTTAGAAAATTACTAGTAAAATCTGTTATATAATATATCACATTCAAAATTCTGTAAGCTATATACATGCTCTATATACATATTGAACTAAAACGAATGTTATTTATCTAATCATATACAAGATACAAATATAGAATAAATAGGTTTTCAATAATCGAACTTTGTAAACAATGTCACGTGGTCATACTAAAGTCGCGTGCTGGACTCTCCGTTAGCTTGTCTGTCTGACGTGGCCCCAGTGTCTGTCTTCTCGGTAGAGTCTGTCTGGAACCGCTTGCAGAAGAAGACTTTCTGCATGGCGCGATCATAGGGTTCTAAAGACAGTAGCGGCTGGGGTAGGAACATCCAGTCTAGGAGCTTTCTGGGCAGGCTCTGGGGTCGTTTAGCCTGCAGGCATTTGATGACGCCGATGATGATGAAGAGAAGGCAGACGGGCCCGAGGAAGCCGAGGAGGACGTACCAGCCCGGGATGGAGAGAGCGAAGACTAGGGCGGGGAAGAGGAAGAACATGAGGAGGATGTAGACGATGGCGAACCAGCGGTACTCGGCCGTGCAGTTGCCTAGAAATTTGGCAAGCGGGATGGGGAAGCGGAGGTAGGGAATAAGGTAGAACAGGAGGATGCCGGTGATGTTGAAGAAGAGGTGGCAGAAGGCTGCTTGTAACGCGTTTCTGAGGCCGTCCGTGTTGGCTAAGGCTGAGAGAATCGCCGTGGTCGTGGTGCCGATGTTTGACCCCAAGGTCAAAGGGTACATCCGGTCGAGTTCGATGACCCCGATGCCGACGAGCGGGGTGAGGGTGGAGGTGAAGATGGAGGAGCTCTGGACGATGATGGTCAACCCGGCGCCGATGATGATGGTGAGGTATCCGGTGAGGTAGCCCAGCGGTCCGGGAAAGTCCGCGTTGATGAATTTTTTGATGATGAGAGCGATGGGGCCTTGGAGAAGGGAGAGCAGCAGTTTGACAATGGCGACAAGACACAGGCAGAGAATTGTAAGGGAGATAACCAGCATGATTGCTCCGATAGCTTTGTCGTTTAATGTAGAGTACATTCCCTTGAATAAAAACTCACCTAATTGTAAAACAAAACCAATCGTAAATTACAAACATCAGAATTGCATTAAAGTGTTTAATTATAGTTAACTGTGTAAAAAATATTTTAATTATATATTTTATATTCATATAAAGAAAACCGGGATTTTCGTGAAATTTAGAAAGTTATAAGTAAGTATAAAAATAATGAGTTAATTTCTGTTTAATGCTTTGTTTCCATTTCCTAACCACGGTGCTAAAGCTACTTTTTAATGTTAATTTCATATAGATAAAGACCCAACATTAAGATAACCCTAGCACAGGGGTCGGCAACCTGCGGCTCTTTTAATATCAAGATGCGGCTCTCCAGCTCCTTGCATAAATACTAATAATCTTAATAAAAAAATAAAATATTTGAAATAAAAAAATGTTAATGGCTCTTTAAAACCAGGGAAATTTTGAAAATCGTAACTTTTGGCTCTTCCGCTTCAAAAGATTGCCGACCCCTGCCCTAGCACACTGTGGTTCTAATGACATCCTTAATTGTTCATTTCATAAATATAAATACTTAACTCCAGCATGACACAAACTCAAAATTGAAATTATTAAAACTAGTTAAATTTGCTATGAAATTCATTTCAGGATAATACTATGTTGTTTTTTATAATTCTTTCTACATTGATTTTCTGGAAGAATGAAATGGGGGGGGGGGGGATTAAACCATCCAGTCAGTTGGTGAATGATCTCATCGATTATATTGATTTGTACCTGTTTGTTCGAATTGAAACGTTCAGAGTAACAGTGGTTGTTTCAGACCTTTTTCTCGAGAGGGGGGTGGCCTATAAAGATCCGGAGACGGGAGGGGGGACTATTGTCATAAACAAGTATATATTCAGAATATTCTCCATTTAAAAAATTCTATTTTGTCTGAGGGGTTGGGGCTAAGTGTGGGTTCTTGGACTTCTCCACCCACTTGACACAGGAAATGCCTGAAAGAAACTCTGCCCTTATGTCGCTGAATCTAACTCCGCCCATGCCTCGCTGAGCCTTTCCACCTCCCTCATGCGACACTGAGGCTGGCGGGCAGTGCTCTCTCTAGTGGGTAAAAGGTGGCCTACAACGTGTATTTTGTGTGCGCAGCGTTCTCAAAGTCTTACAATACAACATGACTGCTCGTTCAAAAACTACTGCGTGGCTGATTTTTAAAAATCTACTGCGTGGCTGATCTTAAAAAATCTACTGCGTGGTTGATTAAAAAAAAAATAGGGCGTGGCTGATTTTAAAAAACTACTGCGTGGATGATGTTAAAAAAAACTACCGCGTGGCTTGCTTTTAAAAAACTACTGCGTGGCTGATTAAAATGAACTACTGCGTTGCTGATCTTTAAAAAATCTACTGCGTGGTTGATTAAAAAAAAATTACAGAGTGGCTGATCTTAAAAAAAACTACTGCGTGGCTGCTTTTAAAAAACTACTGCGTGGCTGATCTTAAAAAAAAATACTGCGTTGCTGATTTCTAAAAAACTACTGCGTGGATGATTTTTAAAAAAAACAAACTACTGCGTGGCTGATTTAAAAAAATAAACAAATGCGTAGTTACGTAACCGTGCATCATAAAGACGCCATAGCAGTCGGGCCTTGCTCCCAGTACTCACATTCCTTGAAGCACGTCATCTTCTCCACGTCCCTCGTGTACAGCGTGCACGAGAAGTCCTCACCCACAAGCTCGTCCATGACGCTGACGTTGCTCACGGCGCAGCTGGAGAGGGAGAAGTTGTGGGAGCTGGAGCTGAAACAGCTGCTGACGCCGGAGCAGTCCAGGGTCTGGTTGAGGTCTGGTGGATATGGTGGAGTGGATAGGTGGATATAGATACGTGGTTACGGACAGTCAATATGATGGATTGGATAGGTCTAGGAATATATAGGCGGGTGGGTATGGATGAGTGGATATGTGGATGTAGATACGTAAATATGGATAGTAAATATAGAAGAGTGAATGGGTCTGTGAATAAATAGGTGGGTGGGTATGGATGTGTGGATAGGTGGATATAGAGATGTGGATATGGACAGTCATTATGGATTAGTGGATAGGCCTTAGATGTTATGAGTTTGTGGGTATGGATAAGTAGATGGAAATAAATGAATATGGACCTTGACGAGGATGGTAACCTACCCTTAACCTAACTCAGATAACCTTGACCCCGAGGCTTACTTGTATTTAACCTACCTCAGACGGCCTTGACCGCGAGGTTTACCCACTCTACATCAGGCGATTTTGACCCCGAGGCTTACCTATCTTTAACCTACCTCAGACGGCCTTGACCATGAGGAATACCCACCAGACGACCTTGACCCCTAGACTTACTCAACCTACCTCAGATGACCTTGACTCAGATACTTATCCACCCTACATCAGACAACCTTGAACCCGAGGCTTACTTATCTTTAACATATATCAGACGACCTTGACCCCTAGACTCACCTATCCTCTTCTTACAACAGTCGACCTCTGACCTCGTGCCCTGGAAAGCGTCACAGTCGACCTGTGTGACGAGCCTCTGGATACTCCATGTCTTGTTACTCCAGGGCGTGCTCGTGCAGTCCTCGTGCCATGTCTGGTTCCGGCCCACGCATGCGCTAAGCTGCGGACGGAAGTGTAAACTTTTGTCACGTGAGCTGTTTACAATATCTGTACCTTACGGTTCAAGGGGCAAGAGAAGCAGAGTTCGCCAGTTTCTGTGTCTCCGGCATACGAAGATGTAGTGTGCAGGGGCGGCACTGTAGTTCCGCCAGACCCCGCAATGCGGGGGGGGGGGGGGGGGAGAGAATGGGGGCCCAAAAATCCTGGCTAAATTATTTTTAAAAAAATTTTTTAAATAAAAAAAATTTGGTGGAGGTCGAGTTATCTTTCTTCTACAGTTACAAACAAACACGATAGTCGGCAAACGTCTTTGAGAAAAATGCACAGACTATAGCTCGAGAGACAGCCAGACATATAGACAACTTCAAAGACGTAGCCTACCGTTCTTTTTAATGGCGTCGACTAGGAGAACAAAAAAGCATTGTTATATTGTTTACATTATTAAAATACATATCTATGATTGTGTGTTTAAACTACTGGCCTAAATTCTACAAAAAATATAATTATTTAATTCGATCTCATACATTTATAATTGCGTTCATTTTTACTTTAACAACTGTATCCATAAACTTGTAAAAGTTTAAGTTATCTCCCTTCAGCGAAGCATCTGAAATTTGACTGTGCCGGCACGCTTTGAAATCGGGCTGGGGAAATATTGCGGCGACTATCCTGGTCTTCTAGACCAGGGGTCTCCAAACTACGGCCCGCGGGCCGGATGCGGCCCGCGAGGTACTCTCATCCGGCCCGCGGAGATATTTTTGTCCACGAAAAAAACATTTGTCGATGATGGCTGAGGAACTTTGTCCAGAAAAATCAAAGACATGTCTGGACATGTCTGGAACTAACTGGCCCCCGAACTGAAAATTGATAGTTAATGCGGCCCTCGGACTGAAAAGTTTGGAGACCCCTGTTCTAGACGACCGGAAAAAGTCAGCGATATTGATGTAGATGTTTATCGGCGCTTTCTTGTCCCCTTCCAATGAACCTTCCCAACTCTCCCCCCCCCCCCCTCACCCCTACCCCTCACCTCTACCCCTCACCACACCCTTACTCTTACAATAAGATGTAATGCATAGATTAACGAACCGTCTATGAACTACTGAACTGTAAACTGACCACTTCTGCACATTTTGATAAAGACACTAGTCAGTAGTTGTTCATTTGCCTGATGAACAGGGGCGGAACTACAGTCCCGCCAGACCCCCGCAACCCGCAATGCGCGGGGGGGGGGGGGTGCAGGCCGTTTAGGGGCCCACGGCTGACCAAAATTAATATTTTTTTAAATTTTGAATTTAATTTTCGTGCATTTTTGCCTTAATATTTGGTTTGTAAAAGAAAAACACTGTAGCTGCGGTACCACGCTCTTCCGCAAAAGATAAAATCCATTACACAAACTACAGTGTAAAATTTTGAAGGACTTCTTTGACTCGTCAAGGCCGAGTTCTATTTCCCTACAATCAAACACACGCTGTCGCCGGCAAAATTCTTTTTAATAAACAACAAAGTCCATAGAACGAGAAGCCGCTACATATAAAGTGGGCTTTCATAATGCGCGGTTCTTCTTTGCGGCATTGGTAAGGGACCCGAAATCCATTTTTCAATGTTAATATGTGTTTGTGATAGTGGTTGAATTTGTATCCTGTACTATCTTGCATCCTACAAATAATTTTAAAAAAAATATAATACTAGAAACTTCAGTTTTAAATACGTTTACTTGTTTTTACTTTTACAAGAAATATCATAGTAAACTTGTAAAGCCTATACTTGGAATAATCTCCCCTGAGTGAGTTTTACAATGGATGTATTATGTAATCCATATATATATATCCATTGTATGTACAATGGATATATATATATATATATATATATATATATATATATATATATATATATATATATATATATATATATATATATATGCATACATATATATATATATATATATATATATACATATATATATATATATACATATATATATATATACATATATATATATATATATATATATATATATATATATATATATATATATATATATATATATATATATATATATATATATATATATAGGGGCCCCAAAAAAAATTCTGCGGGGGGGGGGGGCTTTTTTTCTAGTTCCGCCACTGATAGTGTGGTCAGCACCTGGCCGATTTATTTCCCTAAAGTGAGTTGGGTATGACACCTGAACTGGGTGGGTTCCAAGAATTTCTATTTTCTTGAACCCGGATTCGAACAAAGGCGGCTGGACATAGTGTTAAAGCAGATGAAATCTACTTCATCTCTCCCATGCCTTTGGGCACGAACAGGAAAAGACGAACATGATGTTGATGTTGTTGTTGATGATGATGATGATGATGTTTATTATGATGATGATGATGATGATGATGATGATGACAATGACGATGATGAATAACCTCCTACTGATCGTACCTCCTGACAGAAGCCAGTCTTCTGCGCATGCGTGTAGTTGACCGCAGTCTTGAACACCTTCGACTTCTTGGTCTCACAGCACTGTGCAGGTGTCTTCTTGTCACAGCACACCTTCATGATGGCGCGGTCGTAGTCAAAGTCAGGATCCGTGCCGTCTGCAATCTTGTTGATGGCGTTCTTGTCGATCTAAAAGTGGGGTGGAGCGCATTAGCACTGTTAAATTACGGAACTTATAACACATGATAACACTTTACAGACTATTGCTAACTCGTCCCCGTAGCGCAGGGGATAGCGCGCTGGACTTCTAATCCAGAGGTCGCGGGTTCGAATCCCGCCGGGGATGATTTTCTTTTTGTTGTTGTGAAGGGGGCGAGTTAATTTGCCTCCACACGTTTAAATGTTAATGAAAGAATTATATGAGTATTCTGTGCAATAATTTATCCAATGACGGGGGCAGTATATTTAATTTGTTTCAACTAACCCTAACCCTCTTAAAATAAAAGAAAATTTCTTCATCGTAATGATTCGAAATTGCTACTGTCATTGTGAGGGCTGGGCAAGGGAGCATCTTCAGTTCATCGACAGGGATCTACAGTATATCGTCAGTACATATTTAATATATCTTCAGTGCATCTACGGCACATGTAAACCACACCTACAGCACACATACTTTACACGTACAGCACACCTACAGAAATATTGAGTACATCTACAGTAAACCTACAGTACACATACAGTACACCTACCGTACACCTACAGTACACCTACCGTACACCTACAGTACACCTACAGTACACCTACAGTAAATATTGAGTACATCTACAGTAAACCTACAGTACACCTACCGTACACCTACAGTACACCTACAGTACACCTACAGTACACCTACAGTACACCTACCGTACACCTACAGCACACCTACAGTACACCTACAGTACACCTACCGTACACCTACAGTACACCTACAGTACACCTACAGTACACCTACCGTACACCTACAGAACACCTACAGTACACCTACAGTACACCTACAGTACACCTACAGTACACCTACCGTACACCTACAGTACACCTACAGTACACCTACCGTACACCTCCACTCCAGTGTACCTTCGGTGCAACTAAAGTGATCAACAGTACATATATAATACATTCTAATTTGATATCACTCTAAAGTGCATCTTCAGTGCATCAACAGTGCACTACCTGGATAATCAGTTTGGTGAAGGGCTCTGTTATGACCTTGAGAATGTCCTTGTCGGCACCTTTGTCTGCGACCAGGGGCAGCGAGTCCACGATGGCATTGATCAGGTGATACAGGTAACCTGTGGGTCAGGTGATACAGGTAACCTGTGGGTCAGGTGATACAGGTAACCTGTGGGTCAGGTGATACAGGTAACCTGTGGGTCAGGTGATACAGGTAACCTGTGGGTCAGGTGATACAGGTAACCTGTGGGTCAGGTGATACAGGTAACCTGTGGGTCAGGTGATACAGGTAACCTGTGGGTCAGGTGATACAGGTAACCTGTGGGTCAGGTGATACAGGTAACCTGTGGGTCAGGTGATACAGGTAACCTGTGGGTCATGTGATACAGGTAACCTGTGGGTTAGGTGATACAGGTAACCTGTGGGTCAGGTGATACAGGTAACCGGTGGGTCAGGTGATACAGGTAACCTGTGGGTCAGGTGATACAGGTAACCTGTGGGTCAGGTGATACAGGTAACCTGTGGGTCAGGTGATACAGGTAACCTGTGGGTCAGGTGATACAGGTAACCTGTGGATCAGGTGATACGGGTAACCTGTGGGTCAGGTGATACAGGTAACCTGTGGGTCAGGTGATACAGGTAACCTGTGGGTCAGGTGATACGGGTAACCTGTGGGTCAGGTGATACAGGTAACCTGTGGGTCAGGTGATACAGGTAACCTGTGGGTCAGGTGATACAGGTAACCTGTGGGTCAGGTGATACAGGTAACCTGTGGGTCAGGTGATACAGGTAACCTGTGGGTCAGGTGATACAGGTAACCTGTGGGTCAGGTGATACAGGTAACCTGTGGGTCAGGTGATACAGGTAACCTGTGGATCAGGTGATACGGGTAACCTGTGGGTCAGGTGATACAGGTAACCTGTGGGTCAGGTGATACGGGTAACCTGTGGGTCAGGTGATACAGGTAACCTGTGGGTCAGGTGATACAGGTAACCTGTGGGTCAGGTGATACAGGTAACCTGTGGGTCAGGTGATACAGGTAACCTGTGGGTCAGGTGATACAGGTAACCTGTGGGTCAGGTGATACAGGTAACCTGTGGGTCAGGTGATACAGGTAACCTGTGGGTCAGGTGATACAGGTAACCTGTGGATCAGGTGATACGGGTAACCTGTGGGTCAGGTGATACAGGTAACCTGTGGGTCAGGTGATACAGGTAACCTGTGGGTCAGGTGATACGGGTAACCTGTGGGTCAGGTGATACAGGTAACCTGTGGGT